CCAAACACACGTTCAGACAATGACATTACAAAATTAAAATTAATTCAATTTCATTTATATAGCGCCACATCACAACAACAGTTGTCTTTCCAAACAGAGCAGGTCAGACCTACTCTGAAGTTAATTACAGAAACCCAACAATTCCCACCATGATAAAGTAAGTAAAGTTTATTTATATAGCACCTTTCACAGACATCAAAGGTCACAAGGTGCTTCACAGAAGTGCACAATTATACATCAAGATAAAACAACAAAATGTAATAAAAACCATGACTACATAAAACAATAAAATGTAATAAAAACCATAACTACATCGAATGCACTGGAACTGTTAAAAAGATTTGCAAAAGAGATAGGTTTTAAGTTGATGATGAGTTGATGAGCAGCACTAGGCGACACAGGGAGGGAAAAACTTCCTTTAACAGCAGAAACCTGGAGCAGAACCATCATCTCTCTCTCTGATTGGTCGTCCCGCAGCCATGAGCCACCTGAATGGACAGAAGGTGTTTGGGAAAGTGATGAGAGTGACCCTGTCCAAGCACCAGACGGTGGCTTTGCCCCGGGAGGGCCTGGACGACCAACTGCTGACCAAAGGTGACCGAAAAACACACACAGTTACCTAAATTTAACACGTTAAGGGTTTATTTAAAAGGATAATACAACCCTAAACCCCTCTAAAGCCTGAGAGTATAGGAAAAATAACAAATATTTGTTTTTTTAAGTCTTTATTTCTGCCATTTTCACAAAATATGGGGGAGAAAAAGAACACATTTTTAAATATTCTTCATTTTTTACTGGGCAATAAGTCAAAATGATTGTTTTTAGCCTTTTATCGCTATCATTATTTTACTAATAAATTATGCAAAAGGTATTGGATGCAAAACATTTTAGAAACTGTCAGGAAACGCCCAGTTCCCCAAATTTAGCCTGTTTTTTAGCCGGTTAAGGGTTTATTTAAAAACCCTTTTAAGAACTAATACAAGCTTAACCCCTTTAAAGCCTGACAGTATAGAAAAAATAGCAAGAATACATTTTTTTAAGTCTTTATTTTGCCCTTTTCACAAATTATGAAAGAAAAAATAACAAATTTTTTAATATTCTTCATTTTTTCTGGGAAATAAGTCAAAATTGTTGATTTTTACTCTTCTATCTGCTCTTATTAGTAGATCTGAATGTGTGCAACAGGGTTTTAAAAGTTTTACTATTAAGTGATTTTAGCCCGTTAAGGGTTTATTTAAAAGGCTACTAAAACCTTAACCCCTTTAAAACCTGAAAGTATAGAAAAAATAGCAAGAATTTGTTTTTTTAAGTCTTTATTTAGCCATTTTCACAAATTATGTGGGAAAAAAAAACACATTTTTTAATATTATTAATTCTTAACTGGGCAATAAGTAAAAAATCTGCTCTTATTAGTATAATCCGATTGTGTACAACAGGGTTTTAAGCTAAGTTTTTACTATTAAATAATGCGAAAGGTCTCAGATGCAAAACATTTTTGAATTATCTAGATTGTTCTGATATCTGGTGTATTCTAGGCACTTTGTTTGTCTTTGTTTTTTGTTGGTTGCTTCCTTTGTATTTTGGTTTGTGTGTTGTTGGTTCTTTGATATATTCCAAAGAGACAGAAAATTGCTGTTTACAAGTTTCTGGATTTAATTGATTAGTATGTTTATGTACAGAAAAAGACTTAGTTTTATACCCTAATTCCCTTTAAATCCTGAGCGTGTGTGTTGTTGCCGGGCAGATTTCTCGGGCTTTTGTATGTTTAACTACAGAAAAATACTTGGTTTTAGTACCTTAATTTATTTTTTAAAGTCCCTTTAAAACCTGACGGTGTGTGTTGTTGCCGGGCAGATTTCTCGGGCTTTTGTATGTTTATCCATAGAAAAAGACTTAGTTTTATACCCTAATTCCCATTAAATCCTGAGCTTTTGTGTTGTTGCCGGGCAGATTTCTCTGGCTCCCCGCTGCACCGTTTTAAGAAGCCCGGCTCCAAAAACTTCCAGAACATCTTCCCCCCGTCGGCCACCCTCCACCTGTCCAACATCCGGGACGCCATCGGGGAGGACGACCTGCGCCTCCTCTTCTCCAACAGCGGGGGGGCGGTCAAGGCCTTCAAGTTCTTCCAGTAAGCCTCCTCCTCCCGGGGTCAAAGGTCAGGGGTCAGGGGTTAAGGCATTGGCTGCCAAAGACGTCTATCGACGTATTTTATGTTTTTCAACGAGAGTGGTAGGGGGACTTTATTTGTGAATACATTTTTTTTATTTTTTTTATTTAATTTTTTTTAATCACTATTTGTTTTTTTTGTTTTTTAATTAATTTTTATTTTATTTTTTTGTTTTTATTTTATTTTTGTGTTTTTTTTATTAAAAAAATAATTAAAATTAATCACCATTTGTTTTTTTTATTATTTATTATTAATTTTGGTAAAAAATTAAACATATTTTATTGATTTATTGTATTTATTTATTTATTATTATTATTATTATTATTTAATCACTATTTGTTTTTTATTTTTATTTGTTTTATTTTTTAAATTTTGTTATTTTTAAATTTTATTATTTATGATATCAGATATCGCACCCACTATTTTTTTATTTATTATTGTTATTTTTTTATTTATTTTTTAAATCACCATTTGTTTTTTTTGTTTAATTTAATTTATTTTTTATTTATTTTAATTTTTAATTTAATTTAATTTATTTTAATTTATTTATATATATTTTTATTATGGCACCCACTATTTGAGCAGCCCTGGTTTAGGGGTTAAGGGTCATTCTGAACTCTGCTCTCCCCCAAAGGGACCGTAAGATGGCCCTGATCCAGATGTCCTCGGTGGAGGAGGCCATCCAGGCCCTGATGGACCTCCATAACTACGACATGGGGGGGAACCACCACCTCAAGGTCTCCTTCTCCAAGTCCACCATCTGAACCCCCCCCCATGGTGGGAGGAGCCCTCTGAGATGTAGTTTTTACCCCCAAAAGTGCAGATTTCTGTGTTTTTTTTGACCAGAGATGAGTCTCTGAGTCCTCTGGACTCCTTTCTGTTTCCCCAGGCCTGAGACAGTATTAACTGGTGTTTTGGTTCTCCTTTTGTTTTGTTTTTTTGAGGGGGAAATGTACAGTTTTTGACATCAGATCAGATCTCGGCCTCCATTTTTACAGTTCTGTTAAAAAAAAGGAGAAGACGATTGGAGGAGAAGTCCTGGAATTGGTGTTTAGCTCCAGTAATCTGGCTTTAACCTTCTGTTAGCCGACTCCTCGTCATGTTAATAAAGTTTTAGAGAGCTCCCCCCCCCCCTTTTTTTTTCCCCCCCCCCCCCCCCTCCTCTCTCTGCTGTTTGCTTAGCCGAACAATCACTCTGAGGCGTTTTCTAGTCCAAATCCTTATTTTATTTCCGTTAGAAAGCGTGTGTTTATGGTTTCTCCTGATGTTAAAATGTGATTTCTATGGAAACACACACATAAACAAGGTTTGAACATGTGATTCTGGACCCGTTGGGGCCACACGTGCCTTCAGTCTGTGACCTGGTTCCAGTGTTGATGCTTTGATGGTTTTATTGGTAATGTTTACTGACCACTTGTGGTAAAAACCTGATTCTTGTGTTTGAGTTAAGCTAGTCTCACAGGACCGGGGTGGGAGCTCCAGAGTGGGTTTTTATTCTCCTCCTTTCTTCTGTTTGTGTAGTGCCACCGTCTGGTTTCATTTTATTTCCCTGTAGAGGATTGTTGTAAATTTTCTACTTGATTTCCGTTTTTGTGACAAAGATTCAGACTAGCACAAATTAAACACGTCTTTTCTACCACGAGCCCTCTAAAGCCGTGTGTGTGTGTGTGTGTGTGTGTGGACTATTTAACTATTTAAGCTTTTGTTCTGGTGTAATAAACTTCTTCCTCTTCACTCCTGCTCTCACTTCTTTCTCCTCCCTTTTCTTCTCTTCTGTTCTCTGTATTTCTGCTGTGATTACAGCTCTCACAGCTTTGTTTTCCTCCGTTTTTACTAGTTCTTCTTCTAGGTTTCTTCATTTCAAAGAGACACATCCTGTTGTGTGAGTCGACATCCTGCTGTTACGGTTAATGTCCAGATATTTATCTTTTTAACCCATTTTCCAAGTCAATGTCCAGATATTTAGCTTTTCAACCCGTTTTTTCACAAGTTAATGTCCAGATATTTAAGCTTTTCAGCCCATTTTCCCAAATTAATGTCCAGATATTTAGCTTTTCAACCCCTTTTCCCAACTTATTCTCCAGATATTTAGCTTTTCAACCCATTTTCCCAAGTTAATATCTAGGTTTCATAATTTCAAAGAGGCACATCCTGTTGTGTGAGTGGTTTCAGAGCCTAGAGTCGACATCCTGCTGTTCAGAACACAGTTAAAGACTAAAGAAACTAAAGAAAAACCTCCTCCATGACACCATGAAAGGAGCCCGGTCAGGAGAGGAGCTCTGAGTGAGATCTCAGCTTTGATTCGGCTTTTTTCCCACATCAAACGGCCACTAATGAAGCTTTTACAGCTGGAGACGGGAGGCTGAAGACAAGAGACCAAAGGTGTGCTAATGGGTTTGTAAAAGTCTTTGAGGAGGCTCGGCTGGGAGAAAAAGAAATGTTTAGGAACCTTTTACTTGTTTGTTTTTGTTTGTTTTATATGTATATTTTTCCTTCAGATTAAATTATCCGGCCGGAAGTTGCTCGTTCTAATATTAGATGTCATCATATACAGATTTAAAGAGGATCAAAGTGTCACCTGAGAGAGGACAGGTGTAAATCTTAAAGATGGGGGGCATTAATGATCTTTTTGGAGGCCGGTAATGGTCCTCTCTGACCACCAGAGGGCAGTGTGGCTCCATCAGGAAACCCAGTTAAAGACATTAAAAGACCAAAAGAAGAGGAAGAAAGATATGAACCAAACTTTGGATATCAGCTTTTACCTGAATAATCACCTGTATCTGAGCTAAACGTTGACCTGGAGGTAATTTTTTGTTTATTTTTTTGGCACATTGTGTCCTGCTTTTGTCTTAGTTGACTTCTTTCTTCTCTGTTAAGAGTTAAGATCAGACTAAATATATCGAGAGGTGTTAAAAATCAAATGGAAAAGGGTAAATAACTCACTAAAATGTGAGGGAGATCCTCCTACTGACTCATAACAACCCCGTTAGAGGGGTTTACACTGAGTCTGAAAGCTAAAACTAAGTCTTATTAACTCTAATTAAATAGAATAGTTAATGATATCAGCACAACTAAAGGCAGAGCCTCCATCTTTTTTAGTTGTTGGACATTGGAGAAGTCTTTCCTGTGGGGGGGGGGGGGGGGGGGGGGGTGAAGGGGGGGGTCAGAGGTAATGTCATGTTGATGAGTCGGTCCTTTGAAATAAACTTTAATGGCCCCACATTAACATGGCCGATGAGGAATTGTCTCCTTAAACAATGAACTCCCACTTTCCTCCCAACAGAAACCTGCTGGGATCCTGGGTCTGAGGGGGGTCCTGCCATAATATGCATTATAGTCTCCAAAGGGGGGAGGGGGGGAGGAAGGATGGAGGAAAGCAGGAGGTAGGAAGGAAGGATGGAGGGAGGAAGCAAGGAGAATTGGAGGGAGGGAGGAAGGAGGAATGAGGGAGGAAGGAATGAGGGAAGAAGGGAGGAAGGAAGGAAGGAAGGAAGGAAGGAGGGAGGGAGGAAGGATGGAGGAAGAAGGTAGGAGGGAAGGGTGGAGGAATGAGGGAGGATGGAAGGAAGGAAGGAGGTAGGAAGATGAGCGGAAGGAAGGAAGGCGGTAGGAGGGATTGAGGGAGGAAGCAAGGATGGAAAAAAGTAGATAAAGAGAGAAAGAACAACTAAGAAAGACTAGAAGAAGAACGACAGACAGAAGGAAAGAGCAAAAGAACCCACAACTGTGTTCCTGCCCAACAGACCAATGGCAGCCCTCCCTAACCAGCCGACCAATGGCAGCCCTCCTCCCTGATGACGTCAGAGCCCCTCCCACTGTGTGTGTGCTCACTGATGCAGATGATCCACACACTACCCCCCCCCCCC